TTTTTGTTGTTGTGAACAGTGCAAAAGAGGAGCCATAGCTTTAAGCTGTTTCAAGGAGAAAATGTTGAGGAGGGGCCAGTCGCCTTTTAAATAGTCTCCTTTCCATACCAACACCTTAATCTTGATACTCTGCGTGGCCCAGGAGGTGCTAAGCTGCATCAGGTTGATTTTCAGCTGAGAGTGTCATTCATTTAAGAGCAAGATGGCTGTAAAGCCACCTTGATTAATGAAGCTAATTAGGCTGAGGTTGTTTGGGAGGGGGTGAGTGAAGCTTTCAAATTAACCAGTTGGATTTGGCTCCATTCCAATCTGGTTCTGGAACAGAGATCGTTTTGGTGGGCTAGGAGTGGGAGGAGGGGGTGGGAGGAGTTGCCACCCAGTTCATTTCCTTAAACAGTCTTCAGCACCGTTAGGGTAGGTTGGGGAAAGAGCTTCTTCATCCCAGAAGAAGCTGTTGCCAAGAGATTGCTATTCTTGGCCTGCTGTGACTGTCCTCCCTGGGTTGCTGATAGGTTAACTCAGGCTGGCAGGCATAGGGAAAGCCTTGTCAGTGGTGGCCCCACCGTGCTGGAACTCTCCACAAAGGGAATTGTCTTGGTCCTGTTCTTACAAATGCTTAAATGGACTTTAAAAATCTGACTGTGGACAGGCATTTATGATCAAAGTAAATTTGGCTATAGGTTCTAAAAATTCTCTCGGTGTGCGCACATGCGTGCATTGTTTTAGATTGGGGGTGCTTTGCTTCTTGGGGTTCTGTGCCAGCGGCGGGCATGGCAAGATCCTGAAATGAGCAGCGCTCAGGGGTTGCATCCATAACTCACTGGCTGTGCTTACTGAGACAAAAGCTAAATAAATTGGATGGGTTCCCATGAGGCGTTGAGGACGTTAAGCAAATGCGTGGCGTGAACCCAGTCATTCCCCTTCTGTATTCTTCTGTTGCCTTGCCTGTCTTTCGCCCCAATGTCCCCCAAATGATAGCCTTTGGAACCACCTACAAAAGCAGGACGCTTTGCTTAGGCCAACAGCCATGGGCTGGAGTTGACTAGAGAGGGGTTGAAGCAAGAGGGGCTGGACAGAGAGGCACAAGCCCGATGCAGTGCTGAGGTTGGGGTGCTCCAAAAGGGTGCTGCCAGAGCAGAAGGCTCAGGGCTCAGCCTGAAGCTTTAGGGGGCCAGCAGCCAACAGGCACAGAAGGTTTCTGGGACACTTCTGAGATTCAGACATCCTAAACACCATCTTCATGCTTGCTTGCTTGAGCAACAGGCCCCGATTCGTTATGCAGCAGGAACAAAGGGAACAGCCATTTCCCGGGGGGCCAAATTGCGCGTCTTAATCCTGTGTCGACTCTGGAGCAAAAGCAGCCAGGAGGCCTCGATCTTAGTCACCAGTGCTGGGGCACGCAGCTCCCTTCCTCCAGAGTGAAGGGGGACAAGATAAAAATGCTTGTTTGGAATGTGCAGCTGATGCCAGCCATAAAGTGGCCCTTGGGTCAGGACAGCCCAGTGGCTCATGGGCTCAGGCAGCTTCTGCGCCGTTCCAGAACAACATTCTGCAGCCACAGCAAAAC